CTCCTCCTCCAGACGGCGGGGACTATGGCCTGAGTGAGGCCGACCTGCAGGCCTCGGTGGCCACTGTGCAGTCCCTGTCGGAGCAGCTGGACTCGGACATGATCCTGCTGAGGGAGCGCTGCGAGGCCGGGGGGAAGGTCCGGGACTACCTCATCCGGCGTAGGGTGGGGGAGGCGGACTTCCTGGAGGTCAGGTAGGTCATGTCTACCGCCTGTACCTCTCCTTCTCCCTCCCTCCCTCAGTGCTCGGGTAGTGTTGGGTCCTGCCTGTGGCGACTGGGACGGCAGCGCTGTTGGTATATTTCGGGTTCAGAAAGAATAGTGCTCTCGACTTGGGTTTTGCCAACAAATACTACTTGTTAACTCCGCATGCAGATCACGCTGGGACAGTTCTGCAGTGAAATGTCTGCTGCACAACCTGTACTTTTTCACACGTGCATCACATGGCACTCGCTCATGATGGTGACTAGTGAGCAGGAAGGGCTGGTACAGTTAGCAACAGCAACGGCTATCCACAGTACTTCCACAGAGTTCACAGTTTTGGGCTTAATTCTGATTTTGTACATTTTTTCTATGCCGTCAGTGAATTTAATTTGTCACCGAACCCCCTTTCACTGGTGTCTGTGTCCAGCGTTGGCTCCCCGTGCTGCCAGTGTGCATCCAGGGGTGCACGGCGTGTTAATCCCCCTCCTGCTCTCGAAGGGTGGCGGTCGTAGGCAACGTGGACGCCGGCAAGAGCACCCTGCTGGGCGTGCTGACCCACGGCGAGCTGGACAACGGGCGCGGCTTCGCCCGCCAGAAGCTGTTCCGGCACAAGCACGAGATGGAGTCGGGCCGCACCAGCAGCGTGGGCAACGACATCCTGGGCTTCGACCAGTGCGGGCAGGTGGTCAACAAGCCCGACAGCCACGGGGGCAGCCTGGACTGGACCAAGATCTGCGAGAAGTCCTCCAAGGTCATCACCTTCATCGACCTGGCCGGTCACGAGAAGTATCTGAAGACCACGGTGTTCGGCATGACGGGGCACCTGCCCGACTTCTGCATGCTGATGGTGAGAGGGAGAGGGAGAGGAGGAGGGACTGATTTATTTATTTTTCTTAAGTATTTGTGTTGTGCTTTTCATCCTTAGCTCATGAGACCCAGGCTACAGGGTGGTCTGGTGTGTGACGTGGAAGACTGAGGTTTTTTTGCAGTTGTGTGAATGACTAGGTGAAGCGGTGACACACTTATACGGTCTCATATATGCCACTTATTTCAGTTGATTCAGTCATAGAGTTGTTATTGAAAATAAATAAGCAATGCCTTGTCTGTGGCCCAAAACGCGTCGGTCACTGAGGACCGAGGCCGGTGCAGTCGCTGACAGATCGGGTCCGGTTGCCCGGAGCGCAGTTGACCCGTTTCTCCCCACAGGTGGGCAGCAACGCAGGCATCGTGGGCATGACCAAGGAGCACCTGGGGCTGGCGCTGGCCCTCAACGTGCCCGTCTTTGTGGTCGTTACCAAGATCGACATGTGCCCCGCCAACATCTTGCAAGGTGAGGCCCGGCTGCCACACGGCACGATACCGAAGACGCGGGAAAGAACCATTCGCGTGAGGCTCTCAGAGCAAGAATCTGTGCCCCCCCCTTTTTTTTAACGAAGAGTCGAAGCGTTAGCCGGTGGGCGGTTTTGCGCTGCCCCAGCGCTGCTGTCGGTCTAGGATGGCCTGAAGGACCGCGTGTCCCTGTGTGTCACCCTCAGAGACACTCAAGCTCCTACAGAGGCTCCTCAAGTCCCCCGGCTGCAGGAAGATACCCGTTCTGGTGCAGAACAAAGATGACGTCATCGTCACGGCCTCCAACTTCAGCTCCGAGAGGTAGGGGCGGGGCGGGGCAGGGGTGGAAGGCCCTGGGGCAGGGGTGGAAGGCCCTGGGTCTTCAGCGAAACCAGCTGCGCGGGTTGATTTTTAGGGCCTTGATCCATTTCGGGTTTTAACAGCTGCCGGCTGTCATGTCGTGCGAGATCAAATCTGCCATTGGGTTTTTTTTTCAAAGCTACCGCCAGAGTTGAGAGGGCTGTACGTGGGTGCATGGGTAAGGCAGCCTGAAGCTAAAATCCGACTGAAACGTATGTCTTTTTTTTTTCTTCCTGACTCACTGGTAAAGTGTGCACAGGAGGTCTAAATGTGCTTGCAGAGAGAATCTTGTGTGCACTCCCCTGTAGCGGGAAAGACCAGAGGTCAGTGCAGTTGCTAAGTCCGGGTGGCGTTCCGGTGGCCCAGACTCGCCAGCTGGGAGGTTTTCTAGAACGGGCAACAAATTGGCGCTGCTGGTGAGGAATGGTTGAGACTTGACACAGAAGGAAGGACCGGGGTCCTGTTGAGGCACTGACAGGTTGACCAGGGACACTTCCGGTCCCCAGTGAAAACGAAAACCGACTTGTAAGCGTGGAAGAGGCAGGTCTCCTTCCCATCTCCATTCGTTGTCTTTTATAGCAAAGACGCCGCTTCAGGCGGTGGAGCTCTGCATTGTGTATGTGTGGGGCAGAGGTCTTTGGCTGGAAGGGCCTGTCCAAGCCTGGGATGAGACTGGCACCATCAAGACCCTGCTGACTTTACCCCTAAATACTGCTGTTTGATTTGGGATTCTTGGGAAACTCTGTTGCTGGCAACGGAGGGGATCTGCTACCTTAGCAGGGTTGAAGATTTGGGGGGGGAATGAATTCTCTCCAGGGGAGGTTTTGGGGACGGTGGGGTGGGAGAAAATGGGTTTGCTTTACCTTGAGTCTTTATATTGAGTGCCAGGACAAGAAGCAGATCACAGAGAGACCCGGGAGGAGGATATGGTGGGCCAAGGTGGAGAGGGTCTCATTCTGTCTCTCTGATCTCTGTGGGTTTTGCGCCTGCAGGCAGGGGGACTCTTTGCGCTGACAGGTGCTATTTTTCTTCAGAAGCAAAGCCAGGCTTTGACTCTCGTCTGTCTGTCTGTACGTCTCTCGTCTTGCCCTCTCTGCATGTTGACTCTGCGCGCGCCCAGGATGTGCCCGATATTCCAGATCTCCAATGTGACGGGGGAGAACATGGACCTGCTGAAGATGTTCCTGAACCTGCTCTCTTCCCGGACATCCTACAGCGACGAGGAGCCCGCCGAGTTCCAGATCGACGACACGTACTCTGTGCCTGTGAGTCCGGCCCACACTGCCTGCATTCTGCATGTTACAAACCCCCAAAATGTCACATTCCCCTACTGGGCTCCATCGAACATTCATTAAAACTCAATGGCCATGTAAAATTACCCATTAAATCCTGAATATCTTTACTATCTTAAATGGTCTTGTAATGTATGAACTTATTAGTAGTATCTGTGGCAGACTTGGACAGATGTTGAAATGAGTCATTTAGAAACAGCAAGTATCTTTTATAAATGAATGCTGCTTTTGGCCCCAAGCTCGTGTCGTGTTTTCCACCTACATAACAATGCTTTGTTAAGACCTTTTGATTTGTCTGTCTGTTGCCCAGATATTAATAATCCCATCAGGATTGGTGTAACACCTTTCTTACTGTTTATCGTCTAGCTGAGGTGTTCAGTAAGCTTCAGTGTGTCCGGGCGTCTGTGGACTGTGTGAATGAAACTGCTCTGCCTCAGCATATCAGCCCCATCCTCTATAAAGCCGACTCTCAGTGACTGTCAGGGCTTTAAGCTTCTCCTTCCAACGTATAACCGGGCAGGATAAGAATGAGCGGAACAGGAATAATCCAGATCCGAATGCGAGATTGTCGGACTCCAGGCTCCTCACCCTGTCGCAGACCCAAAGTCGTCGCAACGGGCGATGGAGCCTTCTCGTGAACAGCACTGCGTTTGTGATGTCCGTTGTGCAAATCCCTTCCAGTCTTTGCCGCTCTTGGCATTTCCAGACCTTGCGGAAAGAGCTGTCTTTCCACTACATGTGTGGTACCATATAATTGAATTTTACTTTTGGCTTCCTGAAGGCAAACGGCAGGTCTTTCTTTCCCCTTTGCTTTCTTTCTGCCTGTATTCTCCATGGGTGCTATTTGGTAGCAGTTTGCTGTTGTTTGAGAAAGGGTGCTGGGTGGCACGGTGGGGTTGGCGCAATGGTCAGCATGGCTGCCGTGCTGCGCTGGGGCACTGGGTTCAGTACTGGCCCCTGGGGTGCTGTCTGTGTGGAGTCTGCATGTTCTCCCCAGGTTTGTGTGGGTTTCCTCTGGGTGCATGGTCCGGAGACATACTCATACGTTAACTGGCTTGAAGAAAACTGGCCCTGGTGGGCGTGTGTGGGCGTGTGTGGGCGTGTGTGGGCGTGTGTGGGCGTGTGTGGGCGGGCGTGTGCGGGCGTGTGTGGGCGCACTGCCTTGCACCCGTTGCTTGCTGGGATAGGCTCCGATTCCCCCTGTGACCTTGAATTGGAAGACGTGGTTAGAAAATGGATGGATGAAAAGGTGCCTTTACGTACAACATTGTTGTCGTTATTACCGTTCTTGAAAGGGCACATTATAAAGTGTAATGGCAGTGCGTTATATACCTGTGGTATTAGCATGAGAAAGGGAATGGGAATATAAAGATCCTGTTATCAATGTCCGCCCTCGCAGGGCGTGGGGACGGTCGTGTCGGGGACCACTCTGCGCGGGTTGATACGGCTGAACGACATCCTGCTCCTCGGCCCCGACCCCCTGGGCAACTTCATTCCCATCGCCGTCAAGTCCATCCACCGCAAGAGGATGCCCGTGAAGGAGGTGCGGGGAGGGCAGACGGCCTCCTTTGCGCTCAAGAAGGTGAGGGGTCCCCCGAGCGGAGCCTGGCAGCAGTGAGGAGGATTGCGGAGCGGCCTTGCGGCACCAGGCACAAAGAGGAGCAGGCACAAACACCTAGAGCAGGCTGTGATTGAGACACTGGCACCCAGACATAGTGGAAGAGCAGGCTGTGATTGAGACACTGGCACCCAGACA